CCTCTCTTGGGAGCCCATTCCAGAGCCTGGCAGCCAGCCCTAACTGTGAAGTAATGCCTCCTGATATCAAGTCTGAACCTACTCTCAATCAGTTTATGGCCATTATTCCTTGTTATCCCAGGTGGTTCCCGGGGGAACAGAGCCTCACCTATTTTCCACTGGTCCCTCCTGGTGAGTTTATAGATGGCCACCAGGTCCCCTCTCAGTCTTCCTGTGTGGAGGCTGAATAGATTCAGGCCCTTTAGTCTATCTTTGTAGGGCCTGGCCTGCTGCCCCCTGATCATGCGAGTGGCCCTCCTCTGGACCCTCTCAAGGTTAGCCACATCCCTCTTGAAGTGCAGCGCCCAGAACTGGACACAGTACTCCAACTGTGGCCTGACCAATGCTGCATAGAGGGGAAGGATCACCTCCCTGGACCTGCTTGTGGTGCATCTGTAGGTGCACGACAAGGTGCAGTTAGCCTTACTGACCGCTTCCTCGCATTGGTGGATCATGTCCATCTTGGAGTCAACAATGACTCCAAGATCCCTTTCAGCCCCTGTGTTGTTGAGAAGGGAGTTCCCCAGCCTATAGGTGCGTTGCAGGTTCCTTCTCCCTAGATGCAGCACCTTGCATTTATCTACATTGAATTCCATCCTGTTCTCATCTGCCCACCCCTGTAACCTGTCTAGATCTAGTTGGATTCTGTCCCTCCTCTTCAGTGTGCCCACTTCTCTCCACGTCTTTGTGTCATCAGTGAATTTGGACAGTGTGCTTTCCACGCCCACCTCCAAGTTGCTGATAAAGATGTTGAATAGCACAGGCAGGAGGACCGAGCCCTGGGGAACTCCACTGCCCACATCCCTCCAGGTCGAAAACAACCCGTCCACCACCACTCTCTGGATGCAACCATCTAGCCAATTTGCCACCTATCTGACTGTTTAGGCATCACTGCTGCAGTTGCCTAGTTTTTTTTTTATGAGTTTGGGGTGAGCAACAGTATCAAAGGCCTTCTTGAAGTCCAGGCAGATGACATCCACCTCAATGCACACATCCAAGGATTTTGTGACCTGGTCATAAAAGGAAACAAGGTTAGTCAGGCAGTGAATCTGCAGTGAACCTGTGTTGGTTGTCCCTGAGCATTACCTCCCATGCTGGGCCCCTGCAGATGTGCTCCTTGATAATTTTCTTGAAGGTCTTCCCAAGGATCAAGGTGAGACCAACTGGCTTATAGTTACCTGGGTCCTCCTTTCTCCCCTTCTGGTAAATGGGGACCACATTGGCCCTTTTCCAGTCCTCTGGTACCTGGTCAGAGCACCACGAGCACTCATACAGTATGAATGGCCCTGCTATGACCTCTGCCAATTCCCTCAGTACCCTCGGATGAAGAGCATCCAGATCTGCTGATTTAAACACGTCCAGCCCCTCCAGAAGTTCCCGAACTAAATCATCCCTGACCCTAGGCATGCCGTTGTGTACCCTGAGCCTGTCCGTAATCCTAGTGGAGGAGTTGTCCCGGTCCCTGCTCAGAAATACGGAGGCATGTTGAAGATGGACTATTAAGAGGAATCTGGGTGATTAATATGGATGAAGAACATGAACTAAAAACAATCTGGAGAGGCAAGGATGAAAGAAAGGACAAGATGCAACAAAAAATGAAACAAAAATAGGTAGAAGATGAAAAAGCACTATGTAAAAATTGAGGAAAATAAAGAAAAGGCTAAATGTATAAAGTTTACTGTCAAACATGATGACAACTTGCATGTTTTCAGGAAGGACTTCCAAATTTTTGTGTTAGATTTTGGGACCAAAACAAGTTTTTCCAGCCCTATAGCTGAAGTATTCATTCTTAAAGCCAATAGTTAAAGCAACCCTTATCCCAATAGTGAATAGCAGTATCTTCCCCAAGGGATCACGACATTTCACATTGCAATCTGTAATGAAAATACTTTTTTGTATCTACAAATATATTCTCACAGTGCCTTCTACAACAAATTAAATTCATTAAAATAAAAATAAAGACACTCCGTAGGAAAAGAGCTAGAGGGGAAGGTCCATTAGAGATTTCTAACCTAACAGCTGCATTTAGGAGAAGCTAATCCAACCATGACATTTCCGTCTTCAAAGGAATGACCTCCTCACCCCAAAGCTCAGGAATGCCACTCTGAGTTACAGAATGAATCATATATGCTATGAATAAAACAAAACAATGTTAGGACAGGCAGAGGGGGAGTATTTTAATTTTTAGGCTTGAAGAACAGTGTTTAATTGACTCATGGCTTGCTGTTTGCTCAAACACTTGTGAATTATTTTGTTGTCTCTTCCTTTTTTATATCAGACTCCAGTGTGTAATACACACATTTACATATGCACAGAGTGCTAGACTTTAATCCCTTGCTGCTAAGTGTTTGGATTTCCTAGTCTGATTTACTAATGTGCATTGACTCACCATGTTGTTTTTAGCACTATATTAAAGGGTGGATTTGACATCAAGTACTAAGATTTTAATCGCCTCTTAGACAGTATGTTTATATTGCTTGGACAACAACTGATAAAAAAAAAATATACATTTTACTAGTGTGCAACTGACCTGGGCACATGCTGCATGGCAGCCAACATGAGTGAGCACTGTTGTACATATGGAAAATACAGAATGAACAGATTAGGGAAATGATTGTGTGCATGTATATAGCAACTACCTCTCTCTTATTATAGATGTAGAAATATTTCAAAAAGACCTTGTTTTAGGAGCTTTGGACCCAGTGAGTTTTAAAGAAACAGAATCTCTTAAGGGCCAGCTCCAAACCAAGGTTTCAGGAATCTCCCACAAATACCATCTGTGTACCAAGAACACTTGGCAAAAGCATTGCTCCTCAACTGTGGAACTCCCTCCCTTCCTCTTGAAGCTCACCATACCCTGATCCTGAACACCTTTCAAGCAGGCATTTAGCCAACAAAGATGGGCTGGGATGTTGTTGAAGTGGTCTTTGTTTTATGTTGATACTCTAGTTATCTTTTAAGTTGTTTTGTCCTCTTGTGCATTCTTGTCTTGCATGCATTAGTCTGTCTCTTAATGTAAGCTGACCTGAGACTTTGTTGGAAAGGGCAGCAGATAAATTGAGTGAGTGAATGAACGAATGAGGAAGACTAGGCAGTTAGGTCCAAAAAAAACCCCTCCACTTGGTAGCTTCACAACCTGAGGTGCCTACAACTCCCTGTGTACCTCTCTTTTTGGCCTGAAAGTGTCCTAGGTGCCTGCAGTTCTACTTTCTTGGAGTACACAGCAACTGCCCCAGAGTCATCTAGGCATCACCCCATTTAGATTTGGAAACTGGGCAGAGCAGTGTCTAAGGCCCCTTAGAAGCTCAGCCCAGTTGGTGTGCTCAAATCATGTCTGACACATGCTGATAGCATTGAGTATAGCATAAAACAGCAGCAGGGCCACTTTCTTTCAAAAACATGAGGGGAGAGAGGGGCCCCCACTTTTTATTTAGTAGCTTTGTTTTTTAGAGCACTTTATTCCCTGAACTGGGAGACCTGAAAAAAAATTCCTGCCTCACTCTGAGAAGACATCTCATGCTTTTTCTAAACAGAGAACATCATCTGGCACTTATTTATCAGCAAATAGTGGAGTCCTTAAAAAAAAAAAAGGTGGGGGGGCGCATTTTTACCGTAAAAAATGACTTGCTTCCCTCCTTGTGTCTGTGAACAAACAATTGGTTTAATGGTTTAGTTGGAAGTTGCACCCCAGACCATGGAGACAGCCCCAGGAGATTATTTGATATAGTTCCATTCTAGTCTGACACCCTGTCCAGGAAAATAGAAACCTTCCTGCCTCTCATTAATACATTCGTCCCATTCCATTCCAATGAAGGGAAGATTTTTTTTCTGACACTAACTTCCTCATCCCAAAGAAGGCTGGGTATCCAGTCCTGGCTTTAAGTGGGTCAGCATCTTCATGTGCTGCTTAAATTCAGAATAATGACCAAGGTCTTAGTCAGTGCTCTGTATTGCTACACAGGACTCCACACCTGTCGCACCCTCTCTTGACTGGGGATACATAGCAAGCATACCATTGCTATTTTCCCTTGTCAGCCCCTGGTGGTCTGGCAGCACATAGTTTCTGACCCTGAAGCTGCTCGGTGTAATTGACATTTTTGTCAATTTCATACCATTGTTAGCAGCAGCTGCAGTGTCCAAGGAACATCCAGGTCACCTAAAATAACAATTGCAGCAACAAATTCTGGTTCAATGAAGATCAATAAACCTTCAAAAAAATCTCCAATTTGGAACCTACTTTTCAGTCAGCTTTAGTAAGGATGCTACAGGGCATTATTAACATGTGTCCTACCCCTGGGTCTTTGCAGCATCATGGGTGGTCAGGAAAGATAGACACTGCTGCCTGTTAAGAGGCAGACCCCTGCACCTGGTACACTGCCCCATGGCTGGAGCTATATTAGGGAGGGAGAGGACAGATTGCACACCCTCAACGTTTGCAGGCCCTGCCTTTTAACTTGAAGATGATCAAACCCTTCAGAACTTCCACAAGACTATTTTTATAATTAATGGATCTCAGTATTAGATTTACTGTTACAAATTAACTAGATGGAATCCCCAGCTAAACTAGGAGTTGAGCAGCTACTGCTGTTTCTTTGCAAACATCCCCATTTTGGACATCAGTAAGGCAGGTGCAGAGATTCAGTACATGGTTTTACCAAACATTGTTCTAGAGTTGAATGCTCTGGGTTGAATGCTTTTTTGGCAGACTGCAGTCTTCAGATCAGTAAACTGTTAGCATTTTCCTACTTGGGTTAGATTCCTGCCTGACAGTCTCCAAGAATAGAATGACTGTAGACACAGGATGAATAATATGCAGCAGTGATGCGCTCTGTGTGTGTGTGTGTGTGTGTGTGTGTGTGTGTGTGTGAGAGAGAGAGAATGCACATTATGTACACATACAGTCTGAAATAAATAATATGTACACACACGCACACACACAGAGTCTATATCTATATCAGACAGATGGATGTGGATTATTTATCTTGCAGCATATCAGTTTTTGTAAAGGTAAGTAAGGTATCTTCTGGATTTATCTCAATCAATTTACCCATCTGTAATGATGCTCTAATGGTTTAAAAGCAGGTATTTTTCCAAACAAGAGCTTGATGAAGAAGGGAGGTAAAAGGCCAAGCTTAATTTGATTCATCCCCCTGTCAAATTTTGTAAAATACAACAAGCAGAAAAAAAATAGTTATTCACATCCCAGGAACTTCTGTTTATAAGCTTGTTTCTTTGTTTTTTAAATCTGTATTTACTAGATTTTTTTTTTTACTTTAGAGCATAATTTTTATGATGATAGAAATATACATTTGCTTTAACTATTTACCTCTGTTTCCATTAACTAGAAATACAAAACTTAACACATATTGTCTTTTTGCTTAGGAAGGGGATTCCAAGTGAACAAGTAAAACATGCAGATCGAGAGCAGACGAAACGCATCGTCTATTCTGTGATTTATGGAGCAGGTAGGAAATTATATACAAGAAACTAGATTAACTAGAGTTGTAAGAAATCTGAGTTAATGCTTTGATTTTTGACAACTAGCCAGTGCACTGACCTCCCGAAGTGAACAAAATACTCTTAGAATGATTTTAATTTTTCTTGACTAGCAAAAAATATTCTACTTAAAAGAACTGATGTGTTGATTTTTATCTAGGATTTGGACACGCATGTGTGTGTGAGAGAGAGTAGTTATGAGTGTATACTTGCATAACTGAAGCATCACTCTTTAATGTAGAACATCTTCTGTGTTCCTCTGATAGAGAGATGATAGAGATGGGCAAAGTGGCTGCTATGGAACAGAATTTAGTCTCATGTATTGTTGTTCATTGTTGTTCATTAAATGAATGTTCTTGGCACATTCATTTAATGGTGCAATGGGATCTGATCCCCAATTCCAATAATTGTGCCTCCTGTCATGCCACACACACATGGTGGGAGGCACGTTTGTACAATTAGGGATCAGACTACAATCACATTGGGAATTTATTTGTACACCTGCTTGGATAAGCACTTTTAAAAGTGCCCAGCACTGCAGAGCATGCACTTGTATAAATGGTAAAATGCATGTCAGCACTGAGAAAATGGTGGCAGTGTGCTTTTGAACTAAAACTCAAAGAAGATGTTTTAGTTCAAAAGCACACTGATGCCATTTTCTGTGTGCTGACATGCATTTTGCCACTTAAACAACTGCACGTAACACAGTGCCGTGTGTGTCGGCTCACGTGCAGAGCAGACTTGATTAATTGAGTCTGCTCCGATGCGCTGCATTTCTGGCATGTTGGAGCAGACAAAGATATGTGGATAAATTCCCATTATTACTGCTTTCCAGTGTAGAAGGATCCGCTGCCCCTGCACAGGCAAATTGAAAGAGCAGTGCCTGCAGATCCAATATGGCTGTCAGCTGAACACTGGGACCCTATTTGGGACTTGAACTGGTCCCAGTGGTATTTGGGGCCAGGCCAGCCATCAGCTGATTGTCAGC